TTTTTTGTTTTCCTTTTATAACAAGATTTGAAAACTATTAAAAAAAATATTAAGTTTTTCTCTTTTTTTCTCATTTTTTAAGTCATTTGGCCCGGGAGGGGCAGGGGTGCATTTGTACCCCGGACCAGTCCGGCCCTGGTTTCCGACAATAAAATGTTTTATTACTCCTATATCCTTGGATCTTTATAAACCTTTAGATGGGGAAGAAAAGGTAATTAAACTTCGTTTGTGTTGTCGTTTCCTACGTTTCCTACCGTTACCTTATGATACTACGTATATCTGCCAAAAAAAAAGTTGGCAGCCGTTTACATTAAATAAGCATTACTTACTGCATCCCTGTTCGTCTGAGTTATCTCCACAGTCGTCCCTATGATCACACTTTTTACTCATGTCGATACAGCGTTTGTTGTTTGCGCATCGGAACTGATCGAGTCTGCATGCGATACCACCTCCAGGACATCCCTGTTCATCTCTTCCAGAGCGACAATCCAAGTAACCGTCACAGCGCTTCTCCTTCGGCACACAAGGATCTGCAGTCCGAGGGCCGCTATTGTTTGTGTCATTGCAGTGAAAATCGTCCGCTTGACATTTACGATATGCTGTAACAAATTATTTATTTTAGAAAATTGTAGAATTGAACACACTCTCAATTTATGCTAATAATAAACGCTAGATTATCTCCTAAATGCTAAATTAATTTCATTCTTATCCTGACCAATTTAAACAAATGATTTTATTATGAATATTATTACGAGTTTGCCCCCAGGTGGTAGAAATTTATGCTGCGCTACTGCGTTGGTGTAAGTTATTGGATTAAAGGAAACAAAGGAAAGTTTCAAAAATATATATTAATTGTTCACAAAAATTATTTCACCATAACATTGGCTTCTTCAAGTGAAGATATTCTGACTAAAATTGTTGCAAAATTAACATAAATACTAAAAGTTTTCAAAGTTTATGCGGTGGAAACAACGAAAGTTGTCCTTAAGGTTTTGAAGATAAATTTAAATTTAATACTTAATGGAAAACTATTTACATCAATTTAATCATTTAGTAAAATATTTAATTTATTGTATTTATTAATATAAAGACTTT